CCAAGGCGCTGGTGGGGACCGCTCTTCCCTTCTGCCACATCCTCTCCATCACCACAGAGGTGGGAAAAACCCAGCAGGAGGGAGCTGACGGGTTTCTCCAGATGGTGCCCTGCTGACCCCAGCCGTTCCCTGTCTTCGGCTCTTCCTTAGGAAAACACGGCGCGGGCCAGCCCATCAATTAATGGTTTCCTCATGTTCCCCCCGCACAGCCGATGTGGGAAGCTGTCTCCCTGTTCCCCAGGCCGTGCTGAACCGAGGCCCCCCCTCCCCACGGCCCCGCACCCTGCGCGGGTGCCGAATATCCCGCGCACAGGGGGAGCACGTGTTTAACCAGGGAACGGTGCCCTCGTAAAGATGAACAGGGAGATAGACAGGTTGGATGAAGGAATAAATGAACAAATGAATGAATGACACGGCGATTAACTCTGAGGTAATAAATGCCCCCTTGGCTTGTAAAAATACACTTGGCATTTTGAAGAACAGCACATTTCTCACTGCTTTGCAAGGGCAAGAGGGGCTGGAGCAGCTATGCTCCCCAAACACTTGTTTGACATGGTCATGAGTGGGAAAAGTGCACGCTGCCCTAGTCCTGCAGCCCCTCTGGGTGGGTGGAAGAGCCCTGGTTGGGACCGGGAGAGCAGGAGAAGGGATGGGAAATGGAGAGGCCGAGCTTTGCTTAGAAAGCAAAATTTAGGATGTTAACGGGGCTTGTGGGGGTTGTAAAGTGCTGAGTAAAACACCGTGCTTGAGCAAGGGGTGGTGGACAGAGTGCTGCAGTACCAAGGGCACAGCAGAGCCGGGACAGAGGATGGGGCACTGAGCACGTTGGTTGGACAGGTCACCACCACACCTTGAGGAGTGAAAACAGGCCACTGTTCCCCAGTACATCATGTCCACAGGAGGTGAAGTACGACTTTTCCATGTTATTAAGCACAGAAGCATGAAGAGTACAGGCTGGCAGGGCCACCATCACTGCTCCCCAACAGCTGGAGCCACTGCTAAGAGCCACATGGATCTGCACTGCAGAATGGAGAGAAATTGCTCTGTGTACCAGGGAGCATCAGGGGAATAAGGAGAGCCAGGACACCAGGTCAGACCATGACAAGGGGCCACACAAGTAGGTCTTGTCTCTTTAAGCAGATGTTGCCCCTTCTTAGAGGCTCAGCTCCTCACCAGGCACTTTGTTCCCAGAGCCCAGCACTGAGCTGTGCCCCACTGGTCAAGGAGAATGCTTTTTGCTTGACTATGCTGCACCTGAGGGAGGTGTTCTTCTGTGGGATTCAGTCAAATTTTATTTATGTGGGCTTTGGTTACCAAGAGCAAAACGATGGAAAATAATCTACATATGAATCTATCTGTCTGTCCACTCAGGTTGGGGTTCAGCTGTCCAAGTTCCTGGGGTCTCTCTTGAGTGGAGCTGGCTGGACAACACAGAAAAATAGCATTGAGTTTTCTGTAGTATTCTCACATTTTGTGTCTTTCCTTGGCCAGATTCTGTGTTTCCATGAAAAACGTCCACTGGTGTATTGAAATGAGAAAAATTTCAACCAGCTGCAAAATTCAGTCCCAAAGCGGGGGGTGGAACTTGCAAGCCTGGCCTCTCTCTCAGCTGCCGTTTAGTCTCAAACATTTTGGCCCAGCTGAATACTGGGAAAAGGCCTGTTAAATACAAACACACCCATGGAAATGTGCGTGGTCGTTTTGGCCCTTCCCGCGTGGGGACGAGGCATCCGCTGCCTGCAGCAGCCGGTCCCAGCACGGTGTTTCCCAGCTCTCCGGGCTCATCCAGCTGCTGCACGGGGTGAGAGCCATGCTCTAGGAAACGGGAGTGCACTGCAACGTGCCAAAGTCCTTTCAGACCCTTTGCTGAATTAATATTTTTCCTTGAAGAGCTATTTTGGAAAACATGTGCCTTTGTAGTGGTAAAGCGAGTTTGCACTGCAGGATCTCTTTCTTGCCCTTGCGAAGCTGTTGGCTGTAGCCACCAGGACATCCCCTACTGCCATCTGAGTCCCCCTGTCCTGTGTCACCCACGGGCCGTGGCAGCATCCGGTGGTGTCAAGCGCTCCCCACTTCCAAAAGGGTGGCCAGGGCTGGGTGTGTGTGGGTGGACGTGGCAGTGCCCCTGGATTTGCAGCCCTTCCCCAAACTATGCCTGTGGCACCAAGCCCTGCCCAGAGCTGCAGGGCAGGATGAGCAGCATCGCTGAGCAACCCCGTGGTGCCTCCACTGCCCCTTGGTGCCCTGGCACCAACTCAGGGTGGCCCAGCTGCAGTGTCCCAGGGACAGTAGAACCCATGTGCAGCCCCTGGTCTCCAGCTGGCTGTGCCAGGCAGAGGGAGAGGAGTAATGAAGGTGAATTCTTGCTTTGGATGCTGAGGTGACACAAGCAAGTGAAGTCAGGAAAAGTTCTCCAGGCATCAGCCTCAGTGAAGTTGCAGAGTGGCCTCCTCCAGGCCTTTATCCAGGATTTTAGGACATTCCCCAGCCAAAGGTGGGGAGCTCTTCTCCTCAGCACAGACTATGGGGTATGTGGTGGTCTCTGATCCTCCCCAGCAGGACACTGGGATGCCAGCTGGGAGCCATCCCTTCTCAGCAGTCCTGATGGCAGAGCTGAAACAAGAGGAAAGAGCCACCTAGGAGGATAAATGGAGAACGTCAATCACCAACTCCAAGGTCCTCAACTCCAGTTTTAGGTTCCCCAGTTCAGTGGAGGAGAAATCGGGTGCCAGAGGAAACCCTGGAGTCACCTGCCCCCGAAGGCTGTGCACAGCACTCTTGGGGAACACAGACACATTGTGCCTCTCCTGAAGGCTGTACTTGCTTTTAGAGGGCACGTGCTGCTGAAGCCCTGCCCTGATGAGTATCCATGCCCATGGAACAGTGCTGCTGCCCTGCTCTTTCCTGGGCTGTGGCTGCTGAGAAGAGAGGCCAGAGAGTGCCCACAGCCCATGGGGTGATGCTGAGCAGCCCCTGGGTCAATGGGGATGATGACGATGAGAGTCCAGTCCTTGCACACCCAAAGGGTGCTCCCCCACTGACTCCTGTGTGAGCACTCTTGTGTTTATCCAGAGAAGCTGTGGCTGCTCCATCACTGGAAGTGTTCAAGGCCAGGTTGGATGGGACTTGGAGCAACCTGATGTAGTGGAAGGTGTCCCTGCCCATGACAGAGGGTTGGAATGAGATGAGCTTTAATGTCCCTTCCAACCCAAACCATTTTGTGATTCTTTGACTGTTGGGTGCATGGGGTTGAAGTGAGCCTGGGGCAAGGGCAAATCTGGTGGGAGGAAGAAGAGAACTGGGTGGCCCAACTACTTGGAGAGCCATCTCATGCCATAGGCCAATAGTCTGTGACAACCAAAAGAAGAGGAGCCAGGGATGGGAGGGTCTATGTTAGGAATGTGGATAGGACCAGCTCATCCAAGCCCATGTGGTCCCACATACCCATTGCCCCTCAGTTTCTGGCCTCCCCCCAGCTCTGCCTGTGCCCTGTGTAGGTACCCCAGCACCCACAGGACCTGAATGATGGCACTGCAGGCCCTCCACATCTCTGAAAGGTCACCTCCAGAATCTCCAGCAGCTTCACCAATGCACCTGCGTGCCCACACAGACATCCCCCAGGACCTAAATCCTCACTCCCCAAACTTCCTTTTCCTGAAACCCAGCAGTGCTCCACCAGTCTCTTCAGCTGGAGGCTCCAGCACCACCCTGGGATGCTGAAGCCCAGAAGCACCAGACCACCCATGGGATGGGGAGTCCACACAAGCTGCCATGGTCTGAAAAGGGCAAAGCTTCATCCTAAAGAACTGGAAGACTGTGATGTGGGCTACAACACCTCACTGAGCCATTCAATAACCGAGGCAAGGTTTGTAGGGAAAGGAATATCTATTGTCAGAGCACCTACTATTTCTATTCATATTTATTAAGCCAAGACTGCTACAATCTCAACATGGGAAGATACTGGTGTCTGTTTAACCAGAGACTTATACATGGTGAAGAAGATATAAAAGACTAGAGGTGGATCAATGAAAGCTCTTCTCTCTTCCTGCCACCTCTGCCTTGTGCATCTCCTCGGACAACCTTGGCCAGAGAAATACTTCCCAGGAGAGCATGCAGTCCGGCCAGCTCTGAAGGATGCACACCAAGGCACATGGTCACTTGGTGTCATCTCAACAGAAGCAGGTGGAATTATGTCAGTTGGCACCAGGTGAGAATATAGGGCATAGACCTGGCTGGCTGGACGATGATACAGGATGGCTCTGCTCAGCCCAGGTTCAGGGGGAGCAAGTGGACGTGGGAGGGGAAAATGGGTGTCTTCAGGTCTTTCCCACTGGGTTGTCTGGACTATGCCCCAGGACAGGTAAAAATGAGGGGTTGAGAAGTCTGTCCCTTTCTCCCTGGTGGCCAGCAGCACACTGCCAGGGCCTGCCTCCTCCCCATGGCACTGCAGCACAGCATGGGTCCAGCCCCAGCCAGAAGTGCTGGTCCATGTGAATCCAAGGTCACTGAGGAGTCAGGCCTTGCAAAAGTTCATTTGTCCTTCCTGGTAGAGCTCCTGGGGCTGGTGGTTCTGCAGGGCTGGATAGTTTCCACTCAGCCTCCCTGCACGCACATCAGGGTGAAGGACAGGAGACTCCGACCTCCTGTTCCTCCTGGGCAAGGAGAAAGGCAGACAGAGGTCTGACAGCAGCACATTTTCAGAGTGAGGAAGAGTCATACCCTGGATGCTGGAGAAGGGAGAGCTGTCAACTCAGATATCAACACTGGGCCGAAGACAACTGTGTTAAAGGCAATATAAAAGCCTATAAAATGAGTGCTATGGACACCAATCCCCTCCGAGCTCCTTCCACAGACAGGCACCCACAGGACCTTGCTCCACTTTGCTCCTCATTAAAGGTTTGTCATTACTGCGTTATTTTTAATACACACTTAGAGAAAAAGACCGACACGCACACGCAGCCGTGCACACGCACACACAAAGGGAAACCATTGCCAAAATATACACTATAGACAGAGAGTCCGTTCACACTATATATATGTACAGAGTCTGTGGGTGCAGTCTGACAGTGCCCAGCCAGGCTGGGGCTGAGCACGGGGTGGGGACAGGATGGGTGGAAACACCTCAGGGCTTCACACACTTCCCCTTCTTCTCCCGCCGCTGCAGTTTCCGAAGGCGGCGTGTCCAGGCGTCCCGCCACTGGATGACCAGGCTGTTCTTGTCGGCCATCAGTCCAGGCCGGTCAGTGGAGTTTTCACTGATCCCCATGACCAAGTACTTCTTGCTAATCTGGATCTTGGGGCACTTGCAGGACAGGTCTTTCAGGTGAATCCACAAGAAGTTGTCGCCGCGCTTGACCCGCTCGTCGCGGCACTTGTAGACAGAGAGGATGTTGATGGTGAACTTGGCCCAGTTGGCCACCGTCTCCATTTCTAGGATGTTCACCTGGACCACTGAGGGAAAAAAGGGGGAGGCATGGTGATGGGAGATACTTTGCCTAGCTCCACAAAGGAAGCTTTGGTGGCAGGAACTGCCTGTCCCCAGCAGCCCCCCCACCTCATCCACCATGACTTTGGGAGGGCTAATTTGGGGACTCCTCTCCATACAGAGTGTTCCCCATCCCCTGGGTGCCTGCATCTGCCACACCCACAGCCAGCCCTCGTCCGCCTCTGTGGCAAAGCCCAGCATGGCCCAGGGAGGCTGGAGGTCCTTACCATAGTCCTTCTTGCAGTACTTCTTCATGTTAATCTTGTAGTTGCCCTTGGCTGGCTTGCAGTAGGAGTCACAGTCTGCAGGGGAAGAAAAGAGGGTTGAGCAGAAAGGAATGGATGGGAGGAAGGCAAGTGAGGTGAGGGTGGCCACCGTGGAGAGCAGGCAGGGGCCATGGACAAGGAGAGTCAAGTAGAACCACTGTGGCCCTGCAGACCTGGGTGATGTGGGAAGAGAGGATATGGCACCAATCCCACGACTCTGACAGCAGACCAAGGGGGTTGTGATCCTCAGGGCAACTCAGTCCTCAGGGGCCAGAGTGGTGGGAAGCACCCTCAGGAGCAGCCCCTTCAGAGACCTGTGCCTCCTTGGTTCCTATAAGCAGGGAAGGGGACTCAGGCTGGGGGAAGGAGGCAGGAGAGGGAAGTGGCTCTGCTCCACCGGGTTACTCCTGCTGCCCAGGCATACCCTGCTCAGGCTGCTCCAGAAGGGCTGGGGAGGCCAGCAGGCTGTCCCCCACCACACACACATCCCTTCCTGCTGCCCCCCAAGGCTCCTGTCCTCCGGGAGGCTTTTTTCTGTGCATTTCTAAAGCCTCCAGATTTGCATCTCAAGCAGAGGGAGGGCAGGGAATGCCTCTTTCCTTCTCCCCAAAGGCTTTGATCCCAACAATTGCCCCAAGCAGCCCTGTTCTTCTCCTTTCTTTCCCCTGCCATCTTCCTTTGAACATCTCAATTTGTCTCTTTCCAAATGGCATGTTTTTTCTAAGCCCATCTTTCTTCTTTTCTCTCCCTTTTTCAGGTTCTCCCTCTGGCTTGGCCCCGTGTCCCGGGATGGAGCCAGCAGCCTCTGAAGTTGTCTTTGTTTGTGGGTTGCCACAGCAATCACTGGGGATGGAGGCAAGGGTCTGGGGGAAGACGGGGAATAACAGCACCCTGTGCCAAGGGGAGGAGGAGAAACGAAGAAAGGAAGAAGCCCGGGAGCACAAATTCCCCCTGGGCTCTGCTGTTCTCCTCTCTGCCCAGCTCCTTTTTATCTGGGACTTTGTGCCGCCTGTTCCAAATTTGTCAGTGACAGAAGCAGCGCAGCACGAAGCTAATTCTTGGCAGAGGGGGGTGAGCCCTGATTTGCAGCTCAGCTCCCCCCATGCTGCCACACTGCCCCTCTGCCTGGGCTGACAGAGCTGCCTTGGCCCTGCTGCATCCCCTGGGACAGCAGTGGTGGCTGTGGAGGGGACACAGGATCCCCTGGGAGAGCAGTGGTAGCTGCAGAGGGACTCAGGCCCTCCCCGTGCAGGGTGGCTGCTGAGCACGCTGGAGTGCTTGGTGCCCTCATCCACTGCATCCATGGGAAGTGCTACAGCCTCAGCCTGCTATATCCCCTGGCATATGCTGCAGCCCCATTCCAGACACCGCTGCAGCCCCATTCCAGACACCACTGCATCCCTGGGATGTGCTACAGCCTCAGCCTGGACATTGCTATATTCCCTGGGATATGCTGCAGCCCCATCCCAGACTCTGCTGCATCCCCCGAGATGTGCCACAGGCCCATCCCTGACGCACTGCTCCGTCCCTTCCTGCTACATGAAAGAGAGCTCCCACCTTATTTTGGGGAGCACCTGTCAAGACAGGAGACCTTTTCTCCCCAAGCAAAGGGGCACAAAACCCATCCTGCAGCTGGCAGGGTGATGGGTGGTGGGACCAGGCTGCGGGGCAGCCTCAGCCAACCTGCCACTCCTCCCTTCGGTGATGGGGACAAAAGGAAAACAGAAAGAAATCCAGTAACTGCCCTGGGCTCCTGCTGGTGATTAACAACATAACACTGGGATCCAAAAGAGGCAGAAAATGGGGTTGGGAATTAACAATTTGGGAGTAGTTTGGGGATTTTTTTAACCATGGTTTTGTGCTGAGGAACATTACTCAAATGTAAAATCAATTCCTGCTCCATTTATGTAAGAAACTTGGGAAGAGAAAAAAAAGTCCATGTAACTGGAAGCGTTTCCCTTACTTGCCCCTGAGAACATGGCCTCCATCACCGGGTGTGGGGCAGACATGGGTGCTGTGGCTGGGAATTGTCTGTGCAGCTGGATGGGGCAGCTGAGCCCCACAGAAGGGCTGGGGGACTGCAGAGACCTGACCCAGTCCGAGGGTCAGGTGAAAGTGCACCCGCAAAGCCTGAAATGCTGCTGCATCCCTGGGATCCACTACAGTCCCCTCCCTGACATTGCTGCATCCCTGGGATCCACTACAGCCCCCTCCCTGACATTGCTGCATCCCTGGGATCCACTGCAGCCCCCCCTGACACTGCTGCATCCCTGAGATCCACTGCAGCCCCCCCCCGACACTGCTGCATCCCTGGGATCCACTACAGTCCCCTCCCTGACATTGCTGCATCCCTGGAATATGCTACAACCCCATCTCAGGCACTGATGGATCCTTGGGATAAGCTACAGCCTGATCTCTGAGACTGAGACATCCCTGGGATGGGCTACAGCCCCATTCCTGACACTGCTGCGTCCCTGGGAGATGCTACGGGGACAGAGTGGGAGGAGGCTGCTGGCAACCAGAGCCACTGGCCTGGCTCCCTGCGGGGGGAGTGTGTGTGAGAGGTGGCAAGTTTGCACATCTGGTTTACTTCTCCTCTCCTTGGAAAAAAAAAAGGAATATTTTTTTTTAAGAGAGATGTAACTTAATTAGGTGTTATGGCTGCAAATCTTTTACTGCTTACTTTGAATTCCTTTAAAGCCCTGTTTTGTGCTCCACGAGTTTTGTTAATTCTGCTAACGGGGAACATGGATTTATTTTTTTCCACTAAGTGGAAAATATTTTGAGATAATAATAATAAAAATTATGAGAAGTGGACCCAGGACGTTTCATCACCAAGCCAGTCAGCTACTCAGGCACAGAGATCAAAGCTGGACCTCAAAGGCTTTGCAAGATCAGAAAGCCAGGAGAAAGCTGGGAACAGTGATGCAGAGGATGGCAATATCAGTGAAAAGCCTGGACACACCCAGGGATGGGACCCCAGCAGGGAGGAGGATGGGGAGAGGGGGAGAAGCCCAGCACCTGAGCACGGCAGCCCCAAACAATGTCCCCCTGTTCCTGCAGCCGGCACCTGCTGCCAGAGGCAGGGTGGGAGGTGGGGAAATGGGGGGAGAAGGGGCTTGGAGGCTGCCTGGGGTGGGAGGACTGTGTGGCATTGAGGGGCTGAGGGGCCCTTGGGGAGTGCCCTGCTTAGGGGGAGCTGGGGGCTCCTGGGGCAGAGGGATGCAGGCAGAGGGCATTGGGGTGCAGGCAATAGGCAGGGTGCTAGCAAGGTGCTGGCAGCAGGCAGGGTGCAGGGTACAGGCAAGGTCCTGGAAGCAGGCAGGGTGCAGGCAGGGTGCAGGCAGGGTGCAGGCAGCAGGCAGGGTGCACTGCTGTGGCCAGTCCTGCCTGTGGCACAAGCACACTGGAGTTGGGTAACCCAGGCAGTGTGGGGCAGGGCAGCCCACCTCTGACCCCCCCAGTGAAGGGGCAGGATGATCCCTGTGCCCTGCTCCTCCAGTGGCACAGGCCCTGGGCAGAGGCAAATACTTTGCATTAAAGATATTCGAGCTAGAAGCCAGAAATCTTAAACCAACAATAAACTGGAGGCAGTTTGAGGCAGACCTGCTCCTCTAAAACAAAGCAAACAACCCGGCTCTTCACCAGCATGGTTTATTTTTGCACAGCTGAACAGCTCAGACATCACTGTGAGACTGTTCCTATTTATAAAGCACTGGAGGGGAATCACCTTGATTAACTCCGCTCCCCACAACACTCCCTGTTGGCAATAAAACTGTTCAAATCCCCCTTTCCCTCTCGGCAGTGTTTTCCTTTTCCCAAAGCCTGGTGTTCCCAGCTCCCTCCTCACAGCAGGCAGGGTAGGCAGGGCAGGCAGGAGCAGAGGTGGTGGTGGTCTGCCCTGTCCCACACAGCCCCCCCAGCAGTGGTACCATCACTTCAGCTCAGCATCCTCCTGTTGGGCAAGACGTGCACTCCAAGTCCCAGCTCTCCTCCGCTGACACAGCGTGGAGTGAAACCTCTGCCAGGTCCAGGCAGGGCTGCTCAACTCGTGTCCTGAAAACACCTCCTGTTTTCCAGAGCCTCTGTGGAGTAGGGCTGTGAGGGCTGGGCAGTGCCCATGGGTGCTGGGTGGGCACCGGGCTGTGCAGTGCTCCCAGTCTGAGCCACGTGCAAGGAGCTGAGCTATCAACCTCCTCCTGTGCATCTCCCCTCTCCACCCCCATTGACAGGCTTTACTCCTGCCACAGAATCACAGAATTGTTAAGGTTGGAAGAGACCTCCAAATCATCAAGTCCAAGCTTCGACCAAATACCCTCATGCCCACTAAACCATACGGTGAAGTGCCACGTCTGCTCGCTTTTTGAACACTTCCAGGGATGGGGACTCCACCACTGCCCTGGGCAGCTGTGCCAGGGCCTGTCCACCATTTCAGGGAAGAAATTTTCCCCAATATCCAATATAAATCTCCCCTGGCACAACTTGAGGCCTTTTCCTCTTGTCCTGACCCTTGTTCCCTGGGAGCAGAGCTCGACCCCCCTCCCCGGCTCCCCCCTCCTGTCAGGGAGTTGCAGAGCCAGAAGGTCCCCCCTGAGCCTCCTTTTCTCCAGGCTGAGCTCCCCCCCAGCTCCCTCAGTTGCTCCTGCTGCTCCAGCCCCTTCCCCAGCTCCGTTCCCTCCTCTGGACACACTCCAGCCCCTCAGTGTTGGTCTAGTTGAGTGAGGGGCCCAGAACTCCACACCTTCAACACACCTTGTCCCTGCCCCTCTCCTACAGCCACCGAGGGCATGCACAGGACTGCAGGGGCCGTGCTGGGAGATGTTCCCAGAAGCCTGGGGAGTACATCCCAGGCACACACCAGCCTGGGAAGAGGCTGTTGGTGTTTTCCACCACCAAGGCAAGGTGGCCATGGGAAGGGGAGCTGGGGAGAAGGTCACAAACAGAGCACTGGCTCTCTGAGAAGCACACAGGCTTCCCTGGGATAGACGTACCCTGACCAGGGCAGGGGGAAGCTGCTCATTAAACATGGGTGTGGGGAGATGGGGGTGCCCCTGCTCTCTTCATAGGACCATGTGCCATGGGATGGAGTGGAGGATGGTTCAGGATGTCTATTCCACCACACTGGTATGTGGGAGAAGACTGAGGTCTTGGGGACAGCAGGAAGAAGGGTGGCCTGAGGAGGGAGGGGGCATCTTCTTTCCATAGATTCTCCCCCTCCACTGGCTTGGAATCCCTACAGAGGGATAGAATTGGGATGGCTGGGAACAGCCACACTGCAGTGCTGATGGGACTGTGAAAGGAGAGGAGGGGAGAGAGAAAATCCCTGCTACAGCCCTCCTTACTCTGCTGGGTGCATCCTGCCATGGTGGCACAGGGTCCAGGGGCCAGCACAGCACTTCTACTGGTGTGTGCTGAGACACGAGGGAGCTCAGGGCACTTTGGTGGGACCTTGGGCCATGGCTAGGCTGGAAGAGGGACACTAATCCACCAGTTCAGGTACCATCCATGCACACCCAGCAGTGCCTGGCCCCAGCTGAGCCTCTGCAGGAGCACGAGTAAACCTGCAGCATGCAGGGAGATGCCAACCTTGCTCCAGCCTGGGGAGCCAGAGCAGCTCTTCAGGAGCTCTAAGGACCATGGCAGCAGTGCTTCCCTTGCCTGTGCAAAGCCTGGAGCCCCTCAGTGGAGCTCTCCCCTCTCACTGGGTGACCTTAGCAGTGACATTGATCCTCCCACTGCCCCATCACCCCATGGTCCCATCACCCTGTGCAGCCAGGGTGAGCAGCTCATACCCAGACCCTTCACTCCTGCAGACCCGGGTGAGGTGAGCCCCATGTCACCCATGTCCCAGGGGAGACCTGGCAGCCTGTGCCCCAGCACAGGGGCCCTGGAGCCTGCCTGCAGCTGATAACCTGCCAGACATCCGGTGCCCCAGCACCTCCCAGAGCGCCGGGGCCCTGCAGAGGCAAAGGGCACTGAGGAGAAACCTCTGGCACTGGCACCGGCACCAATAAAAGGAGGTTAAACAAAGCCACTGGTGCCATGTGCCACAACCCCTGCCGTAACCTGCCAAGGGATGGAGAGGCCCCAGTGGGCTGCATCCCTGCTCTCCTCCTTGGAGAGGATGGAGAAGGCCTTTCCCAAGAAAGTCCATCAATCTTAGTTTTCTCTTTTCCAGAAATACATAGGATTTCAAATCTCAGTCACTACTTTCATTGAAATTTTTCACTATTCATGGTTTGCCAGAGCTCAGCCCTTCCCCCTGGTGTGCCAGGGACAGGAGTTGGGATGGGCCCCCAGGTCTCTGGGTGGGGCTGGGGCCATGGACTTGGCCAGGGACATGGAGCACTTACCTGCAGGTGCCTCTGTGCTGGTGACTAGGGAGGTGGGGTTGATGGCAGGGATCTCTGGAAAAGAAAGGAAGAGGTGTCTTAAGGAAAAAGGTCCCCAACTCTAGGGGTGACAACTGGGAAAAAGCCCTCTGAAAATGGACTACAAGGGGGTTTTGTGGGTCACAAACGAAAGACGATGGGATGAGTCTGACCTGAATATCAGAGGCCATCTAATAGACCTGGAGATGTCCAAAGTGAGTTCAGTAAACTGGGACAGGCTGAGATGCTGCAACCCTCACGAGCCCTAAGTGGCTGTGTGGAGGTGTGTGCTCCAGGGATGGATGTTCCCCAGATGCTCAGCTCATCTGAACTCAGTTTAGACATCGGACAGATGCTTGGCTGATCTCAGCATGATCCAGGCTGCCCAGCACAGGGATAAATGTGGGCAAAGACAGCACTTTCTGAGAAGTCTTGGCAATAAAATCTGGTGGAAATTCTGTCCTAACCCTAAATCTGGGGAAGAAGAGAGGGAGAGGAGCCAGCTCCACCAGCTCACCCACACTGCCACTGCTCCAGCAGCCCCAGTGAATGCTGCAGGGCGGGAAGTTGTCCCTTTGCCACTTGGGTCAAATTCAAACCCACTGCAGCTATAAACAAGGTTTTGTGCTGCCCACAGGCCCTGGCCCTGCCGCAGACGTGACCACGCTCCGGGCGCAGCCGTGTGAGGAGAGCACTTGCTGTGGTGGAGGATGGGACCCAGCAGAGCCGTTTCAGCCGGCTGGAAGCACTGACCCAAGGTGTCTTCCAGAGCCTCTTGCACTAGGGAATGTGAAGCACAGGCCACCCCACAAAGTGACCCACCGTCCTCCTCAACCACCTCCTGGAGAACACCCATAAGGACAGACCCTCTCTTGTCTGAGCCTCCACCCACTGCAAGCCATCCAATGTGGGTGGGGGACCAAGGGGCATCTCCTGGTGCTTGTGGGGGCCCCGGAGTGCCAGGCAGGGTGCAGGGCACTCACTGATGCAGGGGGCCACGGGCGAGCGGCTCTGCTGGTAGCCCTTGGCACAGCGGTTGCAGGTGAGGCCGGTCACGCCGTCCTTGCACGGGCACTGCCCCGTGGTCTGGTTGCAGGTCTTGCCGGCTGCACCAACGGGGTGGCAGTCACAGGCTGGGTGGGAGAGAGAGAAGAGATTATGTGAGAGGGGATGCAAAACACAAACCCCAAATTGGACCCAAGGTGCAACCCTGAGAGAGGTGAGGAGAATGGGGCCCTTCCAGTGCACCACTGGAAAGCGGCTGCTGGAGCTGGCACAGACCCGTGGGTCTGTACCAACCATGGCCCCACATGTGCTGTGAGCAGCACAGGCAGGAGTGTGAGCAGACAAAGCAGTTGGCCAGGGTATGGGCCTGCTGACAGGGATGCTCAGGATGAGTCCCTGGAGACACTGCAACTCCCACAGGGGTCTGCAGCCACCAGCTCTCTCACCTCAACCCCAGGGAAATGCTCCTATTGGAGCAGTAAAAGCCATTTTCTCCACTTGCTCCCCGACCTCTGAGCTTTTCAGTCCATGGAGCTGAACCACATTGAGCTTTTACACAAATATTGACCTTGTCTTGGGTTTAGGATGAAGTGGGTCTTCTCGATGCTTCCCAAGCTCATGAGCCTCAATGCCACCTGACTCCTGGAGACCCTGGGCAAAGGATGACCCCATGCCTTTCTAACACAGACTTCCTAGGGACAAGCCATGCCTGAGGTGGGTGAAAGTTGGGTCTCCACCCTCAGAAGAATGCCTAAGTGGCTCTCCATCACACCACACTGGATGATGGACACACTGAGGTTGTCTACATGGAGGGATGTGGGAAGGAGATGCTCCCTCAGGAGAGGACCTTCCCATCTGCTCGCTTGGAGCTGGGCTGGCTACGAGCTGGAGGAGGTTATCTCAGCCTCCATCAGTGTAAGAGTTGAACGTGATTTCAAAGCAAAACAAAAACATCTCCCCCGCCCGCCCCCGCAGCCCCCTGATGTTATCGTTTCCCTAATTTTCACCAGATGGGATTGGTGGGAGCACCATGGCACTCGAGCCCCCTCCTGCACAGCCAGAAACCAGAGCGAGCAGCCTCTAATGGGGACCAGATGCTCCATCCTTATCAGATCTTGGCTGGGACTGGAAGCGGACGTCTTTCTGACAGGGATATTTTGGGGCTCAGCTGTGATAACAAATGGCAGCGAGCGAGGGAGTCTTGGCACGACGTGGGACCGTTGGAAACACGGGGGCTTTCTTGGGCCCCAGTGGTGTGTTCCTGGTGCAAAGCTTATGGATGGGACATAAATCTCAGCCCAATCAGGATCCAGTTCATCTAAGCCCATCTCTCTTCATGCAGTGGAAGGAGGATTTTCAGTGACTCTGGATGTTTTACCTGGATTAGTAATTAAGGCAGCTTTGCTCATCTTAAATCCACAAAAGATCAGTGTCATTGAGGGATGAGTTTGGTTTCTGCCAGACCAATCTCTGCCCCTTTGCCCCGCCATAGAGGAGAGATTTCCCATAGTCCCAGAAAAATACATTGCTCCTTCCTGCTCCTACGGGAAGAGCATCCCAGGCAGCAGTGGGTCCCTGTGCTGGTTTTGGCTGGGGTAGAGTTAACTTTCTTCACAGTGGCTGGTAAGGGGCTACGTTTTAGATTTGTGCTGAACATGGGGTTGATAATATAGAGATGTTTTTGCTATTGCTGGGCAGGGCTTACACAGAGCCGAGGCCTTTTCTGCTTCTCATACTGCCACGCTGGCAAGGAAGTTGGGAATGCCTGGGAGGCTGGGAGGAGACACAGCCAGGACAGGTGACCCAAACTGACCAAAGGGATATTCCAGACCATATGACATCATGGTCAGGGGAAAAAGAAGGAGGCTGGGGGGGAAGAAGGCAGAAGTGATGGTGTTTGTCTTCCCAAGTCACTGCTATGCAGGATGAGGCCCTGCCCTCTTGGGGATGGCTGAACACCTGCTGCCCGTGCGAAGCAGAATTCCTTGTTTTTCTTTGCTTGTGCGTGCCTCTTTTGCTTTCTCTATTAAATTGTTTTCATCTCAACCCACAAGTTTTCCAGCTTTTACCCTTCCAGTTTTCTCCCCGATCCTGCTGCTGGGGCATGGGGGCTGGCAGGGTGAAATCACAGCAGTCCTGCCTTGCAGCGTGGCCCATCCCACTGCTCCGGCTGGAGCATCTCCATCCTTCCTCATCCTGACATGACCTGTGCAGGGGGGCCGGCCCAGGGACCCCCTCCTGGCCCCAGGGAAGGCAGGTACCGGGGCACAGTGCAGCTCCACACCACTGCCCACACACCGAGCCCTGCTGCTCCCAGCCCTCTGGCTGCCAGGATCTGGCCCGTGGAGCTTGAATGGTGGATTAAGTCACTAGCTTGGAGCTTAACTCATCGAGCCGTGCTTGCCAGAAAGCATGTCTTGCACCTCATATTCAGGGTATTTCTGCATCTTGAGGCTTAGCTGCTACTGCTTCACCAGTTTTCATTGGAGAAAACTCACGGTTTACAGCTTTGTTTAAATTACCGGGATTAATGCACAGCCATTCTTTATTTGACTTTTCAATTACCGCCATTGAATTAATCCTGTAGGTTGTTCTGCCTTTTCCACCCTCCCAGCTTTTCCGTCTTGCAGCATCCAGTGGTGGGAGGGAAGCACTCGCTGGTGGCTGAGGGCTCAGCTCAGTTAGACTCAGGCTTGGGCAAGCTGCAGTTGGTATTTTTGTGCCTATTTCAAAGATGCTGCATCCCAGGAGAGACAAACTACGATTGGAGAGGGATTTAGTAACATGAGTTGGGGTTTGTTGAAATAAGATGCAATGGTTCATGGCCTCTGGGCTAGGGATTTGCCTCCTGGTTATGAGCTGACCATCTGCAACCTGGTCTAGTGGAAGATGTCCCTGCCCATGGCAGGGAGTTGGAACCAGATGATCTTCAAGGTCCCTTCCAACCCAAACCAGTCTGTGATTCTACGAGCATCCACCTTTGCAGTGATGCTCAGCTTCTGCCTTGGACCAGTGCTGTGGTAGGTGCAAAAGCCTTCATTCAAAGCCACAGCCCCCCATTCCCATCAACCTGTTCCACATCTGCTTTAAACATCTGTTGTCAGGATCCTTGCTTTTTCTTTTCTTTCTTTTTTTCTTGCAGGAGTGTAGATACCTGAGTTGTAGGTATGGGACGCATCTTTGGAGAAACCAAACCCAAACTGTGTTGTCACATCTCTGTCACTGTGTATTTCTATACCTCTCAGTGACAGCTCTCCCTTCCCAGCACCTGGGACCTTGCTCCTGCTCCAAAGAGCTCCAAATCCCAAAAGATCCACCACTGGATAAGTACAAGGAAGAGGTGGAAATGCTCTCTGCTTTACTGAAGGAGAGGCAGCCGAAGTAGCAGAAGCATCAGGGATTTTATTATTAACTTTGGTCTCTGAGGCAGAGCCAGGAATTGGCTCCCCAGACCCAGAGTACCATCTTCACTGCCAGATCCTCCTCAACATATGCACCGAGGCGGGGGTCGGCCCCGTGCACATGTTCATCTGGCTCGGCTGAGCCTTTGCAGCACTTCCAAACCACGGGCAAACCCTGCCAGCCCTCCGGAAACAGCACCCCCTGCCCGGGATGGCAGAGACCTGCCTGTGGCTTGGCACAGGGACGGAGGTTTGTCTGAGAGGGGGGACCTGCCACAGCACCCCCACTCCCCTGCCCCTCCCCAGCCCAGGCAGCGATCGTTGGCATTTCTCCTGCACTGTGGCATCTGCCCTCATCCCATCCCATTAACTCCTGGGCATCCTGGGATGCTTTGCCTGCCCTGTCCCATCCAGAGGAGCCACCTCAGATCAGAGGTGCTTTCCATCACCTTAATGCTACACAATTCCTACCCCGGGAGGGTGGTGGAGCAGGACTTGTGCTGACAAATGGTGGATACAGGCAGATGGAAGCAGCCATGGATGGAGGATGCTTCCTCCATCCTCAGCCCTGCAAGCAGAGGGACCTGAGCCACAGCCGAGTAGGAAATGCTGCACCTGCAGTGTCCCTGGTCCCACACATTTGTGCTGTATCCAGTAGTCCTCCCTGCTCCCAGAAAATCCAGCTTGCTTTATTAATTTTGGTGTGTTTTTTTCTATTATTACTTTTTGGTAAGTGCTCTCTTTCCTGTATGGAACAGAAACTGAGCCCTCAATGCCCAGGGAGGTGGCACCAGGGTCCCCAGGGCCCCCGGGGAGGCAAATGCCTGCAGAGTTTCCACTTTGGTTGGTATTGTATCAGGTAGTTTTGGAGCACAAGTAGGAGAAATCACAGAATATCCTGAGCTGGGAGGGACCCAATAGGATCATTGAATCCAACTCCTAACCCTACATAGAAAAACCTCAACAACCTCCCCATGTGCCTGAGAGCATTGTCCAAGTGCTCCTTGAGCTCTGGCAGCCTTTGGGGCCATCACCACTGCCCTGGGGAGCCTGTTCCGTGCCCAACCACCCTCTTGGGGAAGAACCTTTTCCTAATATCCAGCCTAAATCTCCCTAATCCAAAGAGGAGCAGAGACTCCTCCTTGGGGAAGAGTGGGAGGTTAGGTGCTGCCCACAGAAGCTGAAGGGTGAGGCACAGCCACCCCAGTGCCTCCCAAGCCCTGGTGCCATGGGGGGTGAGCTCACAAGTCCCCAGCACTTGAGCACTCATGGAAAAGAGAGTTTTGCTGCAGCTGCCCCAGTCTGGTGGTGTTGCAGCAGGAGCTGAGAGATTCTGCCATCCATCCCTGGCCTCAGCCAGAGCCAGGACCCCTCCCAGGAATGGGACACAATCTTGGATGCTGTTCCATGGATTGCCAGGATGCATGCCCGGTCCTGCCTCCTCCTCTTCCTCTCTTCCAGTCCCTCTGAGTGTCACCCCAAGAATGCTGGCACCTGGCATGGCTTTGGGGCCTGGCTGCCACCTGGCACAAGCTTCATCAAGGGGAAACCCTCGGTGCTTCCAGGGGTTGCCACGCCCCTGTGACATGGCTTGGCTGAGGCCATGGGTTGGAAACAGCACGTGGTCCCTGGGGACATGGGCTGTGAGGTGGGACCTGTCAGGTCAGCTGCTCAGGTGATTGGAAATGATTAGCTCACTGTTTGCTAACGAGCTGGCTGCAGGCAGGGCCCCTCCTGCCAGTGCCTGCTCAGCCCCCCTCCCTGGGATGAGCTCGAGCACTCCTGGGATGAGCAAGGATGCAGAGCCTGGGGCAGCTCACACAACACAACAGAGGGACTTCACCTATCGCATCCCAACCCAGCTGAGCCAGACCTCCAACAGCACTACTGCATATGACAGGGGAACCCCAACAGTCAAATCCTTCCATTCAGGTCAGCAGTCACAGTGTTAATAGTCTGAAACCACCTCCAGTACTTCCTGTAGGCCCTACATAAACACACGAGCATCATGTTCTTGCAGCAGCGAAGGTGCCCAGTGCCCACACAGCTGCAAAATGCATTGGAGAGGAATCAGAGGGGGACACTGTGCTCCCTTCCAGGAGGGACTAGCAATCTAAGATGGAAAAATAGGGATCGGGGTGAAATCCCAGCATCTAAACAGCTGTGGCTGACTTCCTGCCGACTCTGATGTTCCAGTCTGGATCCTGCCAGTCCTTGGGGACAGGCAAGGTGTCTCCTTACCTCAAATTCTTTGGTGAAACTACTGTTTTGAAAAAGGCTCTGCAGATGGGCTGAGCAGGGACAGGGAAGAGGAACCAGGCAGGCTTGGCCAGGAGTTAGAGGAGAGAGAGGAGAGGTGCAGGTCCCATGATGTTTGGCACGGGCTGGGGACCTTGTGAGGTCAAGCTGCAGCTTGATGGCTTGGAGCCAGCGTGGCTCCTGGCCAGCTCAAGGACAGCTACCAGGAACCATGGTGTTCAGCATCCCCCCCAAACAGGTTCCAAGAGCCACCCCATAGCTGAAATGCACCCTGTGGGGTCCGATGGAACCTCCACCAACATCCCCAGGCCTTCAGAGTAGGGAACTCACATTCCAAGCATGGCTATGTCCCAGACAACATCCATATCAGAGACAGGATTCCAGCACATTTAGTCAGATGTTGACTTCAGCACCTGCCCAGCATCTCTCCAAACACTGACCATGGAGATGGAAACTGCCACCACACCAGGACCCTCCCAGGATAGACGGGCTCCTGGCAGCTCCCTGCCTGTCATCCTCCCCACCCCTCCAGGATATGCTGGGCTCAAAGCAACATCCCTCCCTGGTGCCCTTGGGGTGACAGAGATCATCAGGGTGGTGGAGGCTGGAGGTGACCTGCAGCTGCCAGAGTGACCGGCCGGGCTACAAGCAGAGGGATATCCCAAGGATGGGCAGGGAGAACAAGGAGGCCAAGAGAGATTCTCTCACCCTTGCTGCCCACATGGAGACCCCCCAGCTCACCTTTGCAGGCCTTGCGGTCGGTGATGGACTTGCTGAGGTCTCGGTAGAAGCCCTCCTTGCAGTAGTGGCAGTGCCTCCCCGCCGTGTTGTGCCGGCAGTTGAGGCAGACGCCGCCGCTCTTGCGCCCCGACAGCTTGTACAGCTCCATGTTGAAGCGGCAGCGCCGGGCGTGCAGGTTGCAGTTGCAGGCTGCAAGGGAAGGGCAGAGGGTGAGGGCTGGAGGTGAAACCCGGGACTCCCTGGGTGGGCTGGAGCTGCCCTGGTGCCCCCCACGGAAGCTGGGGGCTGTGCTGGGGAGCAGGATGGGCACAGCACAGCACAGCACAGTCCCAGATGTGCAGCATCCACCACCCCAGAGGGCCAGTGCCGGGAGGTCAGGGCGGAGCAGAAAGGGCACCTGTAGGGACAGGGCACCATTTGGCTGAAGGCAGGCACGTGTGGGATTGAGGGGTGCAGCCGGGGGGTTTGGCAGTGCCAGCTGGGCACCTGCAGCCCTGCTGTTACCCCTGCCCCTTCCCTGGCAGCTGGCTTTGGTGATAGAGCCCACCCAGCCTTCCAGCAGGACCACCCACCTCATGCCAGGGTGTGTGACAGCATCTCCCGAATTCTCTATGTTTAAGGCTCTGCCCTGTGTGCATGAGCACATACACAAAGAAACCCACCTAGCAAGCCATGTGTGCTCACACACACGTGTGTGCACACAAACGTGCACATGTGAACGCGCATGCACATGGCCGCGCACCAAAACAGCCCCAGTCACCCACACGTACAGCTGTGCACAGAAACATCTGCACACCGTTACATGTGCACACACAAATTAGCCCCAGGAAGCACAGGGCCCCCCCAGCCGATTCCACGTGTGCGAGATAAAAAGGCAAAGCACTGCCCGTTCCCACTTAACACTCTTGCAAAAAGATAATGGGAACAAGATTTCCTTCGGCAAAATGCGGCGCCCTGCTCCCCCCGCCCCGGCCCCCTTCCCATGCCGGTAAATTGAGGTTGGGTGAGAGTTTTTCCAGGCGTACTGTGAAATTCATTAACGTGTCAGCCCGGATTTAACTGCCCGGACCTGGTTTGGCGGCCGTGTGAAGTTGCCTCCCCACGGCTGGCAGCGCCAGTGGGAGCTTCACCCCACACAGATCAAACGCTCCCTCGCCCACTTTGGCACTCGGGCCATGGAGATGCCAGGGGAAGAAAGCCGGAGCAAACCCCAGCTGTAAAAAAGAGCTTTTCTGGAGGCTTGAGTGAAGCGGAAGGTTGGTGCCAGCACCACGCGCTCAAACCTCGGCTGCCCCTGGAGCTCCCCCGTGGTATGAGATTAGTGACAAATCACATGGCAGGCATCAAAATAACACCCCGTGCAGCCGTAGGTGCCTTTGGGGGCTTGTGCCTTTTGAGCTATTTTTTTTTCCCTGGTGCTAGAGGAAAACAGAGATTTTTGAGGCAAATTCTGGGTTGTGGTACATTGAGGGAGAGAAGCAAATACAGCCCAAAGTCTCAGGCAGTTCAAGATGCTGCTGAGCGAGGGATGCTGACACTCAGCCAGGCTTTGTCAGGGCCAAAAGAGACACAGTGAAGTATCCTGACATCCACGATGCTCTTGCACTCTCCAGATAACAGGACAGGGACAAGCCAAGGTGGTTTTTGCTGCTGAACTGAGGCAGCTGCACAGAACTGTGGCAAAGGAGCAATTTTTGGGAGTAGAGGGTCCATGTTATCCCTTTGCAGCACTGAAAGGGAAGTTGGGTCACACCAAAAGGCAGCTTTGTGTCCCTCTGGGAATGCCCCCAGCATCCTCTGGGGAAGGAGAGGGGCTGGCAGCCCAGAGGGAGGCGGTGGGCAGTGGAGGAGAAGAGTTGGGTAAATGATTCACCACCCTTGGTGCAGGTCCCTCTCTGCCTCCAGTTTAATTGGTGAGGGAGTAACTGGCCAGGGCCTTTTCCTGGCATCACTGATCCCAGCACGTCCTGGGCAGCCCCAGGGCCACCTTTCCCTGGGAACGTGCTGCAGATCCTCTGATCCTACCAGGAGCTGGGTTTCAGAGAAGAAACCTCCCCTTGCTGCCCAGCATCGTCCCCTCTCCTTCAGGCAGCTGTGGGCCGGGTGTCGGCAAACTGCCACTGCCTTAGCAGGAGCCACGTTGGGATTCTGGAGCCATACTGGCCAGCCAACACGGGGACCTGGCTGGGCTTGGCCATGCAGGGTTGGGTGGCTGTCCCCACCCAGGGACAGGGTCACAGCAGCACGCGTGACCATCTCCTCACCCCCCGGCGCAGCCATCCGGCGCTAATCGGGGCAGACGGGTCCCCCTTACCCGGCTAAATACTCTCACTGTTCCTCAAGCCGAGGCAGTTGCAAGCTCTGTCTGTCTCCCGTTAATCACTAATTAAAGGCTTGAATGTTCCCTGCTGTTTGGGGTATTAATAAGAATTTAATTGCACAGTTTGGGGCTAATTATGTGGCAGCTCGCTTCCGCCCTTGTACAGTATGCCCAATTAAACAATCATATGATCAATTAAACAATCACAAGATCTAATAATTTGCAATAATAGACTAATTAAATGTTGACACCTTGCAATGGAGCAACCTTCTGTCTCCCTTTTGATAATGTTTGAACCCCTGCCCAGGCCACGGCCACCCCAAAACCTCTCCTCCTCTGGGCTGCTGTGGATGGAGGAGCCTGGAATGATGGTACGAGGCGCTTTGGACGGACCCTGGCACGGGACAGGCAGTGCCATTCACCGCGGCACACGTGTGGCAGGCGATGGAGCCTGCAGGGCAGGAGTGGGGCTCACCACTCCTACAAGTTCCCTGGGAATAATTAGGGAAGGCAGCCGGATCAGCGAAACCCAAGACTGGCTGCCGCTGCCAACCCACAGCAGATTCGAGCTACGCCCCTGCTTTGGCTGGAGGAGAGCCTGGCTGGGACACGGGGCAGGATGAGGCTGCACCTCCACCCTGGGCATGGGAGCCCAGACCAGAGGAGCCCCTTCCCTCCCACCCACACTGCCCCTCCATCCTGGGGAGGGTGTTGGGAGAGAGGGCCTGAGGCTCACTCTGCTGCTGCCAGGAAGCAGGAGGAGAAGCAGAAGGAGAAAGCCCTACCCAAGGGGCTGCGAGGGGCAAGGCTGAGCCACTCCTGCCCCATCCCAGGAGGAGCAGGACTCAGGATGGTCAAACAAGCGTTAATCCCATCTGCCAGGGTGGCTGCCTTCCCCTGCACCCCAGATCTGCTGGGATAGCACACCCCATGGGGCGCAGGTGCCCAGGCAGGGGCGGCAGGGGCATGCTGTCTGCTTGCCCACCTCCTAAAGCCATCGCCTTCCCCTTGCTCTCCCCGGGGAAGGACCATGGCTGGTGGTGCTGGGAACACACTGGCTTTCCAGTACGTCTACTGGGGAGCAGGTACGGAGAACCCTGTCGGGGGAACTCAGGAAGGGGCAAACACATACAGGAAGGGGCAGAGGACACAGGGGAGTTACATGCGATCCTCCAAATCCCACCACTGCTCTGGGGTTTGGTGTTTTCAGGCACTGGCATCCCGGCTGGACCACCACATTCCCCCGGCCCAAAGTGGAGGGAGCATTAGCCAGCGAGGTCTTCCCAGGAGAGCGCAGCCCCTTCCCCGCCGAGGCCCCGGATCAAAGCAAGCCCCGGGCATTATCCTGGTGCTCCGGGGAGTGCTCCCGCCGCGGCGGCCACAAAGGGAACAAGAGCTCCCGCATCACCAGCGAGTGCATCAATTACTTCCAGTGGCTGCCTCGTGCTAATCCGCTTCCCCTCCTTCCCCGGGCCGGGTGTTTGGGGGCCGGGCTGCCGAGGGGGTGACCGGGCTGCCCCCAGCAGCTCACGGGTGCAGGCCGGGACCGGCAGCAGTGGCGGGGAGGAGGAGGTGAGAGTCTGCAAGGATAAAGCTGCTGCATCACGTGGGGGTCCCCGGGATTTGGCAATCCTGCTCCTGCCAGCCTCCCTGCTGGGATTATCCTTCACTGAGCCTGTCCTGGGCTAAAAGCTGGGGGGGACACACAGAGGGGGACACATGTCCCTCTTTCCCTGCCCTGGGCACACCAGAGGGCACACAGAGTATCCCAATATTAGCAGGACAAGCTCCCTGTGGGACATGCGGCCTTACAGGGTATCAGGAGAGCCCCCGAGCCTTTGGCCCAATGGCCACACCCTGTAACCACCAGGCACAGGGCCATGCACCCTGCAGCACTGTGCCCTCTTGCCAAGCCTGCAGCATGGCAAATTCCCTGCCACTGTCCTGGCTGTGACATTCCCAACCTGCCTGCTTGCCAAACTCCCGCTGACCCCCCTAACACAGCCGTGTCCCCACGACTGCCACAGCCACAGTGGGGTTGTGTCCTGTGCCGATGCTCAGGCCTCAGGTGGCACTGGGCTGTTTCATGTCTGCATTTCCCAGAGACAGAAATTCTGATGAAATAAGAAATGGATGTCCCAGCATCGTGCCGTGCTATAGGACATCTGTTTGTTCCCATGCTGCAGCAGGCAGACTCCCATGCCCTGGAGGGAGACAAACCCCCAGGCAGGGTGCTGGGGAGCACAGAGTCAAGAGGTGACACATCCCAACGTGACCTGAAGCTGTACCAGCTCCACGGCTCCATTCTCACTCACTTTCAGGGTGCTGCAACTCCCTATCCTGCCCCTCAGCTGCCAAACTCCTGCATCCACCCACCCTCCTTCTCCTCCTCCTCCCCACTCCCCAGCCACGCCTGACATCCACTACCGCGAGCCAACATCACCGATGCCCGACCGCAGGACAGAGTCCGGAACAGCCTCCAGGCTGAGCAAAGGGAACTTCCCGGGCAGCCTCTCCTTTTAATTGGTGCTAATTGCTGCGTCTGTTCGTGCTGGCTGGGGAGATGTCATTGTTGAAAGGCACAGAGGGGAAGGCTTGGGGAGCTAATCCAGCTTTCAGCCGCTAAGCCCTTCGGAGGCGGGTGATGGAGAAGCTCTTTCAGGTCCCTTCAGAGAGGGTACAAAGCCCGAGAGGGGAAAGGGAGAAAGAGGGGAGCGAATCAACAGGAAAAAACTACTTTCACACGCAGCTCGGGGAAGGCTCTTTGTGTGCGGGGCTGTCGGGGGGGCTGAAGGGACCACGCGGCGCTCCCGCCTCCTCTTCCCTCCCTCGTTTATCTTTTCAGCCCCATCTGCCAGAGGGGGGACGGGATCTGCAGCTGGGGGCAGGATGCTCAGAGAAACGCTCTGCAACGCGGGACTCTCACCTCGCCATGGACAAGATGGACAGAAAACCTGCAGATGTTCCCCCAAAACAAGCTCCCTCTGGTTTAACCCCATATGTGCCGGCAGAGCCACCTCCACTGCTGTCCCACTGCTTTACTGGAGGCTGTGGTGCTGAGGCAGATGTGGTGTGGGATGGCACAAGGGAGGCAGCCAGCGGGTCGAGGTCCCCCTTCTGTCCCAGGGGTTTCCATGGGCTCACGCACCTGCTGGAGGTCTCCCCTGCCCGACCTGCAGCAGCCCTGGGCAGAGTGCAGAGGGGAGGGTTTTTTGTGAGCTCTCATCTTTCTCAGACAAGTGGGAAAACACAAGGGCTGACACATTCCCACAGTGTGTGAGGTGGTTTAAAGCATCAGCTCTAGCACTTGCTTTGAATCCACTGCCTTTTTAGCCATTCTGAGAAGAAATCTGCTGTAACATGTATATATTGAAGCAGACAGCTGGGATCTCAACAAGACATCGATCACAAATACTAACAAGTCCTTCTGACCTTTGGCACATCACTGAGCCTTTCAGAGGCTGATTAATGGTACAGCTTTCCCTTGTCTCCATCCTCCCGCCACCCCCTGAGACCTGGGCTCCAGTCCAGGAGGAGTGAGAGGCTGTTCCTCCCTCTCCCAAACCTTCGCAGGACTCTGGCATCCCCCTGCCCCATTCCAAACCGGGAAAAAAGGCAAAAAATCTCCACCAAAATCCCACAAAGATTCATAAGTGGGACAGCCAAGCAACACCAGTTTGATGTTTTGGAAATGTTTCATTTTGATGACAATATTTTTAACCCATGGAAACCTTTGCAAGGACAAACAAGCTAAAACCACGAGACCAGAGTGAATATGAAGGATGAAATGTCAAATTAGGATATCTCCAGTATTTCCTCAACCCCTGACAGGTTTTTCTGCCTGATCCCTGTCCCCAAGCACATCTTGAAGGGGACATTGCAGTTGCCTCTCAGGCGCAGGGACAACTGGTTTGCTGCCCAAGGGGAACACTGCAGAGGGGCATCCCACACTAAGGTTTGCTGACCAGCTGAAAGACACCTGTGAATTTTGGGAGGGTTTTGGTGCTTTGATTCATGGCTGAACCACTGCACCTCTGAGGGGACACCTGCAGCAAAGAGAGGGTGGATGGTTCACTGAATCACAGAATATGCTAAGTTGGAAGGGACCCACCAGCATCATCGAGTCCAACCCTCAGCCCTGCATGAGACCATCCCCAAGAGTCACACCATGTGCCCCAGAGGATCATCCAAACACTCCTTGAGCTCTGGCAGCCTTGGTGCTGTGCCCACTGCCCTGGGGAGCCTGTTCCGTGCCCAACCACCCTCTGGGGGAAGAACCTTTTCCTGAGATCCAACCTGACCCTGCCCTGACACAGCTCCAGCCATTCCCTGGGTCTTGTCCCTGGTCCCCCCAGAGCAGAGCTCAGTCCCTGCCCCTCCTCTGCCCCTGCCCAGGCAGTTGTAACTGCAATGAGGTCTCCCTGAGCCTTTCCCAATCCTCTGGCAAGGGGGGTGCTCCCCAGTCTCTCCAGACAAGCACAATCGCTTTGGCTCAGCACCCATCAATCCTTCCCCCAATGACCTGTTGTAGCATTTGAGCCCCAGGAAACAAAAAATACTCGAAAGCCCCTTACCCAGACACTCGTTGGCCTCGCGGGCGCTGGCACGCTGCCAGGGCCGGTCGTAGTGGAAGGGCTTGCAGCGGTCGCACTCGGGGCCCTCCGTGTTGTGCTTGCAGTCGCACACCAGCTTCTGCTCCTTGTCCTTCACGCAGCGCGCCGCGTGCCCGTTGCACTTGCAGCGCCCGCCCACCTGCAGCTCCCCCACCGCGTAGTAGTAAGGGGTCGAGCCGGCGCCCCCGCCCTCCTCCTCCCCGGCATCCCGGCTGCCCAGGTCGCGGAAGAGGTGCGGGCGGCTGAAGACCACGCGGATGTCGGTGGCCGTCACCCAGTCCTGGAGCACGGGGCTGCTGTCGAAGTCCTGGGCGGAGGGTCGCCCGTCGAGGGTGCTGAAGGCGATGAGCCCGCCGGTGAGCGGGTACAGGTCGGTGAGGCCGTCGGTGCACAGGGCCTCCTGCTCGTTCTGCTTGGTGACGGTGGCTTTGCTGGGCTTGCCGTAGATCTTGCGGCACTGGGAGGAGTAGTACTGGTACGGCACCCAGGTCTTGCCGTAGTCCATGGACTTGAGGATGGCGGTGGACTCGGGCCGGGGCGAGCAGAACTGGAGGCTGACGTAGACCACCTCAAACTTCTTGCCGAGGGAGAGGGTGAGGGTGACGTTCTGGGGCGAGTGGTGGAGGGTCTCTGAGCGCCAACACGTCATGTTGGAGGCGGTGTTGAGGTCGGTCAGGTAGGCGGGTGGGTGGGCTCGGCGGGGGTCTGAGGCGTTGCAGTGCCGTGTCGGGGGCTTCCCACACGTGCTGGAGGCTTGGACCTCCTTCCCGAAGGCAGCATTGACAAATTCGGGGATGCAGCGGCGAGGAGCACCGCTCTCGTCGTAGCAAGGGTCTGGGGGGGTCTGCTGGGCCACAAAGGGGTTCACTGTCTGGGAGAGGCCCAGCATGGCGGTGGTGAGGAGCAGGCGCAGGAGCTGCAGGATCTCCATCCTCCTGGGGTGGGGGAAGTGGCTCCTCCCTGGAGGAAGAGCAACAAGAGTGAATAGCACTGGCAGTGTCACGAGCCCATGTTAGGGGGACTGGTAAGGGATGGGAAACACCCCCATGGCTGGTCCTTCACCTGCGCCCACGTTCCCACCCCACACTCACTGATACATCATGCTGGGTGTGGGGCAGGGAGGCGATCCCTTTGTGCTGCCTTATCCACACCAATCCCTCACTGCTCATCAGCAGGAGCGCAGTGAAAGGAGGTGAGCTTTGGATGGAGGAGGTTGGAATCAGGGTACAGCCCTTCTCTGGCCTCTTACAAACCATCCTGGGGTGACAGGAATGTTCCTGCCTGCAAAGTCAGGGGCTGGATCCCCACCAAATTCCTCTGCCACACTATCTGTGTAATCCCAGGGGGAAAAGTAGGTTATTCTGGCCTCACCCCCAAGAAATCCAGGTCTGCGTCTGGCCTGTCAGTTGATGGAGGGAAAGGCCAGGACCAAACGCAGGGCCTGGCTGGGCTCCTCTCCCAGCAGCTGCAGCACAGGACCAGGGAGCTGAGTGGCTCCTAGGGGATGTGGCCCATCTCCAGTGTCACTGGCTCAAAGAGTGGAAGAGGGATGGGAGGTCACATTGCCTTCTGCCAGCTCTGGTTGCAGCAGGAACATCCCACACGATGCAGATTGGCCACATCCCATCGTGTGAGTGGCCACAGCTCATGCAATCACTGGAGAATGGCCCTGAGTGCTGCAGCTGGTGGCAGACACGTGAGCTGCCCAGATGGGTGGGTGGCATCAGCCCTGCCATCCTACAGGGTTGTGCTGAGCCAAAGCCAAGTTCTTCAGCCTCTACCAGCCCATGCCACAATCAGGCAGGAGGAGGGGACCCCTCATCATCCCCTCTTCCACTAATAAATCCTTACAGGATGACTTGGGATTTGTATTTCACTTTGAGGAATGAAGCTCTGTGCCAGCAGCACAACCCAGCCCAGCATCCCCAGCTCTGCCCCCCACCTACAGCCCCAGTGCTGCTCCTGCCCGTCCAGCTGCCCATTCTGGCCGAAGGAGGCTGCAAGGGACAGCCCATTTCAAATGATTCGGGACTTTTTTTTGTTTGTTATTCCATTTTGCAAAGAAAAAGGATCTACGACTGTGGAAGAAAGCTGCCTCTCCAGGCTGCCAAACCACAAATGAGAGGAAGCTCCTCCCTGCACAGCCACACTCAGCCCAGCAGCCAGAGCCTGCCAAGGGGGCAAGAGGGACAGGGGTCTCGGCCTGTCCTAGGACATCGTCCCCAGGACAAAACCTGCCTCTGCCACTTCCATGCTGTTTCCTCACTGATTAATCCTCTGTTGTTGGAAAAACTGATGTTCACTGGTGAATAATTGGCAGCTCCCTTGGTGGTCCCTGCATCCCCCCAGCAGCACAGTCCCCGCTTCACGGCAGTGCTGCAGAGCCTTTCAGGGGCATGTCAGCCCATGGCTCGGTGACTTGGCAGCCAGCAAGACAAAGGATGTTGTCCCTGGAGTCCCTGGAGCACTGACAACCTACTTGAGGAGGGTAGCTGCAGGATTGGAGACTGCAGGGACACAGCAGTCATCACAGCAGAGGAGGCATCGTGCCATGAGCACCAGGCAGCGAGGAGCATCCCCTGGTGCAGGCAGCCCACAGGGACCCTCCTGGGCAGGAGACAAAGCCATGGTTGCTGCCAGCTCCCTGGTATCTGCCTGTCCAGGCACTGTTGAGCAAAGGTTGCAACTGGTTAATCCCCCAGCACAATCCTAACTGGACCAGTGGGTAGTGAGCCAGAGCCCCTACCAGCCCACCGGGAGAGCCCTGCTCCTGTACTCACACCCAGCAAAGGGGCTGCAGAGTGCTGATGGACCCTGCTCAGTGCCCAGCAAGACCTGGCCGTGTACATTCCTGCAGAGGCCAGCACAGCACCTTCAGCCCTGTGATGCTGCCAGTGCCCCCCCATCATGCCCATCCCACAGCACACCCCACAGAGGGGACCCAGTCGGGTGCTGTTGCCACCACCTCCCATCCCACCACCCCTAGGGCAGCATGTAGTGTGAGACAACCCTGTAGGAAAACATCTGCACCAGGAAGAGAGAGGTGAAACCTCCAGAGGTGCCTCAGCAACTACATCCATCCACTTCAGGGGGACTTGGGATGTATAGAACAAGGCACCTACTAAACCCTGCCAAGGAGGAGTCTCCTCCAGCCTTCACCCCTCTGCTATGTGGCAGCAAGGTGACAGGGCTAGGGACATGCTCAAGCATACCACCTGTAAAGGCCTTCTAATTCCCTGTCTGGTAAGACACAAAGGTGTGGGGAAACCCCTGCCCAGGGGAGAGTGACAGCAGCAGCACCTTTGGTGGCCGGGGGAGAGCCCAGAGGTGAAGCACTAGGGCAGCAGGTCTAGGACCCAGGACAGGGTTACCCCTGTTTTTGGGTTGTGGGGGGGGGCACAAGCATCTGCTGCTCATCCTCCCTGCCCTGATGGGAAGCTCTGTCCCTCCTGCCAGTCTTAACAAGTCCCTGCGATTCAGTGCCAAACTTTGGGGGGCTCTGCTGCTGGGGAGCAGCCCTCAGGGAGTCAAGGCTCACCCAGCAGCGCATCAGCGCTGCAGAGGCAGGGCATGAATGGAAATCATTATCATCCCCAGGACCACACACAGGCACGCACGCTCCGTGCTCAGCTCACCCCATTATCCTGCTGAAAGAGAGCCGGGGCCGGTGGTCTCTGTGGGCCTCACCTCCGTATCGGAGAGGAGGGCAAGCTGCAATCTGCTCCCTTTTATGCATATTCAGCATGACCCCGGGACTGCCGGCAAGCTGCCAGAGAGGCCTGGGAGTGGGTATTTCTCTCCCCAGCCCCCATGTGCCCCCTTTTCCACTTCCCATCTTTGCTGCCCCCGGTTCAGTTCAAATGGAGACGCTGCTGACTAAGCAGAGAGATGGGATGACCCCTCGGTGCCGAATCCAGCCCAGCGTACGCCTGGATCTGGCACGAGGAGGGACAATGAGCGATGTAGTGCCTTTTGCAGTGACAGCATCCCGAAGGTGTCCCCAGCGAGGCTCTCTGGTGGCTGTCGGCTCGCTGCCACCAGCAGCACCCGCGGGCCGGGGCTCACCCTTCCCGAGGAAGCGGCCGCCCTCCCAGCTCCTCCCCAGAAGCGCCTGCATTTTTGAGGTGGGCGATTTCCTCACTCCTCCGCTCGGGGAATGCTAACAGCCGTGCGGCTTGGAAGGAAGTCACGCCGCCGGAGTGCTTCAGAAGTGCTTTAAAAAAAATTAGCTACCACATCCAACGCCTCCACACCCCTTCTCCCTACAGCCACACGCTTCCCAGAGCGACCAGCAGCGTTTTCCTGCCTTGTGGGAGACTTGTCAGGGCGATGCTCCAGCCCACTGTGGGTTCCTTTCCCATCGTCTTTCCAGCAGGCAGGGCTGCTGAGGGGGATACCGGGCACAGATGTATGCCAGGAGCTCCAGGTCTCTTGATGCTGAGCCATGGGGTGGGGGCTTGGTCCCCAAAATAGAATGCACGAGACAAGTGCAGCAGGTGAGGCAGGGCAAGGAGAGCAAACTTCCCACAACACAGATGCTGGTGCCTACGGCAGGCCCAGGGTCACCACCCAGCAGACCAGGGGCCATGGCAGCTTTGCCGAGGTAATTACAGGATTAAGTGAAACAACACGGGACAGGGAGGGAAGGGGGTTATTTGCCAGATTTGATCCCAGGACCTTTGCTGCACCAGAGCAGCCTTCTCTAATTAAAGTAGAGGTGAAGGCGTGAGTGGTGCTCTGCTGTCGGGAAAATGTGGGCTTAGAGGGCAGGCAGTGGCTAAAGCTGAGCAGCCAGCACTGCCTGGGAGGGGAGGCAGAATGCCCCAAGGGATGACAGGGGAATGGTGCTTCCTTCCTGCCAGGGACCTGCACTGCTCCCCCCGGTTCTCACCAATACTGCTGACATGGTCCAGCTGGACGGGTTTCTGCTCTGGGCCAGGACAGTGCAGTGCATGGGGTACTTGCATCACCTGAGGAAAGCATGTGGCCTTACTTGGAACTGGCTGAGATGGGAATAACTGGTCCCCACAAGGTGCTGCATCACCCTGTGCACAGGGGTGAGTTCCTGGGTGCCCTCATGGAGCAGGGACAGAGCCACGCACCCACATGGGGCATGAACATGCTCCTCATTGCACAGCAGAGCTGTGGAGCAGCAGGCAGAGATTCCTGGGCAAGGATCAAAGGACCTGACTACTTAAGGGGGTCCAACAACTAGATCCAAAGTGCTTGTATCCTCCCTGAGATGTGGCATACCCAGTAAAGCCTATCAGCACCTCAGGTGCCATCTGAGCAGGAGGGCACTAGGGGAATGGGATGGGACCCAAAGCAGAAGAGGAATGATGTGCTCAGAGAAGCTGTAACCAGGCACAAATGACGAGAGCACGTCCCTTAACCAGGATGTATCTGCTACCACACTCTGCACTTTTCCACCTCATTATGGGTCCTTCCTAATGAGGGCATCTGCACTCCCTTGCCACACGGGCTGTGGGAGTGACCCCCTGCAGATCTGGCCCAGACCATGAATAAGACCCATCTTGGGGGGCTGGGGGAGGTCCCTGGGTACCCAGGCCCCTCACCCACCATGCCAATGCCAGCTAGGGGAAGCTTCATTCCCTCACCCAACAAGCAGAATGCATCAGGACCGAACTGTGCTTCAGCTATGGATAAATCATTCCATGTGCCTCTGGGACATAAAAACACAGCCGAGAAGTATTTAAAGTGAAAGGAAAAACCCCATGCAGCCAAGGTGCTGGTCCAGGCTCGGCTTTCCGGAGGCAGGGAGAGGCTGGAGGGATGTAGTGCAGCTGGTAGTGCTAATCGCCTTCCCAGCCGCTAATGGAGCAACCAGTGCCCACTCGGGACATGGCTAATGGCACTGAGGAGATGCCTCACTTTCCTGTACAGACTCTCTCCTCTCTTCTGACATTTAAGCATCAGAAGCTCCTGAGCGCTCACGGACCCACATCCGCAGAGTTGGCCTCTCTGTGCAGCCCCTCGGGCTTTCAGCCCCCCGAAGGCACAGCTCACGGGGGCAATTACATGGCAGTGTCTTCCTGCAGCAGGCACTTGGGGTGATAGATCCTGCAACGCACTCTGGCAGGTCAGAGCCAGAATGACACAAGCCATACGATACCCCGGCGGTGCCAGGAGACGTGTACAAATTACACTGCAGGAAAGGATGGGCCAGATTCTGACCTCAGCCCTTTGGCATCAGCCCGAAGTAACTCCATTCACATCGGGCCAAACCAAGACGTAAGCGACTCCATTCAAATTTACACTGGCATACCTGTGGTCAGGATCTGGCCTGGCTTGAATTAGTTGCAGCCTGATGTTACAAAAGGCAGAAACGGAGCCCAGATTTCCAAGGTTATTGAAAACAACCAAAAAATAAAAGAAAAAAAAGAATTCCACCATGAAGCAAACAGTCCCCAGGCTACGCAGCCATGTGCATGGAGCTGTCAAAGGTGGGATGCTCAGACACATCCTTGCTCATCAGTTTTGTTAACTCATAAGCCACACTGACCACAGGAAGGAGGGACCAGCACCCAGCATGGGTGCCCTGCTGAGTCCCCTATGCCTTCTCTGCTCACCACTGGCCCTGGGTAGAGGTGGTCCTGCTGCCAGGAGGAGAGACTTCAGCAGGGTATCACCCATATGATGCAGAGCTGAAATCATTTTACTCCAGCACTTGCACCCCCCAGCCAGTACAAGCTGGAGATCTCCTCATGCTTCCAGTGCAACAGCAGCTCAAGGAGGCATCTGGAGCCCTTGACCTTGCAGGAGCAGCAAGCACTGTCTGGATGCATTTGGACTTAATAATCCTTGTGGATCCCTTCCAACTCAGGGTATTCTATGATTTTATTCTACCCTATTTATTAACCTCTACTACAGCTCAACCAGTTGTTTTACCCAACTCTAATTGCAGCCCAGCTCCCTGAACCCCTTCACACACTCCTGCCATGGTGCTTGGCTCTGTCGAGTGCTCCCAGCAGCATCCTTCAAGGTGCAGAGGATTTTCCTCCCACTGCTTCCAGCAGATGCATGGAACTCATGCAGTCCAGTCATGCAGTCCCAGTCTAGAAGTCCTCATTGCTTCAACCCCTTTCCACTCCATATGGAAATAAAGTGATCTGGTTTCCATAATGTCCCTCATTGCCTTTTCACAACATGCCGGGCACAGATGTTGAAAATAGTCTGGATGAATATTTAAAATGGTATTCAGAGATGACAACATTTGGCCGGCTTTGAAAGATCTCTCACATTGGGCAGAGGATGGCTCACGACAACGGGCCGGAAACACGCTGCACTTTGACATCTCTTTTTTTTTTCACCCCTTCTCTGGCTATTGGTACGATATTTCATGCCCCTGGTGTCCCACAGCCTGTTATTACTTGAGTGCCAGCCAAGCCTGCAGCATTTGGAAGAAGCTGTCACGTACGTTTTTAAACATCACGGGGCAAAGCGGAATATGGAAAATCTGTTGCGTTTCCATACCGAGCACGAGTGTCCTGCGCAGGCTCAGGGAGGGGCTCAAAGGGGCACAAAATAATTGCTTCCTTATGGAGCAGGGCCTGACTAACAGGGTGGGGGAACAGGAGGCAGAGGTGCTGTGGACACCCTCGGCACGGCAGGCTGCTTCCCTGCTGAAGGCATCTCAACACGCGCCCCAAGGTCTGCACTGGTGCTCAGCTCCTACTTCAGGGCTGGGAAACTCCTCTTGGATGCACACCTCTGCCAACCAAGGTGGGAGGTCGGTCCCGGCCGACCCAGGCTGAAGGCATCATGTTCTGGTGCTCAGGGAGCAGTGGAAATTCTCCTCAACCTCGACGCCTAGCAGCTTGCGTTTTTGGTGAGCTCCTCATGCTCAGCTGCATCCATAGGCCTGGCTTCTCTTTTCCACAGGCTGCAGACACACCTCAGCTCTTTCCCAACCTGGCATTACACCTGCTCTCTTCTCTGCAGGGACCCACCTTGCCCTCCCTCCTCCTTCCACACACAGGTGGAGGAGGAAGGGGTGTTGGGATCCACAAAGCCCACCCTTCTCTTGGCCTGCTGGACCTCCTGTCCCCTCACCAGCCTGCTCCAACCAGGTGAGTAGAGCAGCACAGCAGCTCCCTCTGTTTTGTAAATGAGATACTACAGAAAGAGAGGAAAAAAAGTTGTCCTCCATCCACCTAAACACCTTGGAGGGTGTTTTCAGAGCACAGCTGAAGCCACATCCCTCTGCACTGGTTACAGAGAGCTCCAGCCTCTCCTGGCTCAGAGACAAGCAACAGCAAACCTTGCCAGGGAAGAAGGAGCTGTGGCATTTCCAGCCATGTGGGGTTTGCACATCCTGGTCTACATTCAGTATCATCTCAGCCCAGCTACAGTCCAACAAAAACAGCACAGATGGAGATGGGGATGCTCAGCCCAGTTCACATCCCATACACTTGTGGGGTGAGCTCCCTGAGAGAGGAGCATCCATGCCCAAGTGCTGCCCAGATGAGCAGCAAGCCAGCAGGACCACTGCACTGCCAGAGGAGCTCCTGCCCCTGCCCACCGGGCCTTCCTCACCCACCGTGCTTGGCGAGGCAGCAGACTGCCAAGCACCACGTCCCCCATCACACCAGTTATTCCTTATCCCAAGAAAGGTATTTCCACCCACCCACTCTCCAGTGGGCCAGGGAAGCTGTGGGTGGGACGGCGTTTTGAGGAAATGAGGGTTCAGCAGCTCCAAGAGAAAAAAGCAAACACAAACCTACCAAACGCAGCCCAGCTTCCCTTCTCCCCGCGCCACCGCCCGCTCGCACGTGCCCTGCCCAGGCTGCTCTCACCCCGGCTATCGCCCAGGGCAGGGGGCTGGGGGTGCCGAGGGTCTCACCCAGCTCGGCCCAGTACTGCAGAGCAGCCGAGCCCATCACGCAGGGGCTGTTTCCAGAGGGAACCCACCCTCTGAGCCACCGCGGGGCCTCTCCGTGTGCCGGGAAGGGACCGACGATAGCCCCAAGCCTGGGATGGTGGCAAGGGCGCTGCCGCCCGCCAAGGTGGCTTTGTGCGGTGGAGCCCTCCCGGGCTGAGAAGGGCCTGCGGCGGGAGCTGCGGGCAGGGGAGCACGTGTGCGCCCCGTGTCCCTCAGCCGGGGCTGGCACCGCAGGCACGGCCTGGCAGCGCTCCCGCCGCTGCCCGCACCGCGCCCGCACCCAGCGGGGCCGGGGCTGCGACACCGCGGGGCTTCGTACAGCGCCCAGCACCCGCACGGCCCCCGCCAGCTCTGCGGGGCGGCCGCGGCGAGCCGGGCCGGGCCGAACCGAACTGGGCCAGAGCGCGGAGCGGCCGCGGCCGGAGCTGCCCGGGGCCGGGAGCGGGGCTCGGCGGCGGGCGGGCGGCCCCGCTGCGGGGAGGTCCCGTTCTCGGCGTTGAAAGGATGGAAAGGGAAATAAAGGGAGGGTGAGTGCGGGGGGAGAGAGAGGAATAAAAGGCAATGAGGGAGGGAGCAGTGGGGAGGAGAGCGGGAGCCGGGAGCGCCGAGAAGTTGGGAGCGCAGCTTACCGCGGCCGGGCAGGTAGCGGGGCCGGTCCGGGCGGCAGGTCCGGGAGCGGCGGCGAGAGGAGCCGGGGCCGCGGCGGAGCAGGCGGGGCAGCCCCTTCCCGGGGCTGAAGAAAGAAAAAAAAGTAAAGAAAAGGGAAAAAAAAAGCAATAATAACAAAATTTCCAAGGAACTGTGTGTGTGTGTGAGCAAAATAAGGCGAAATAGTGGAAAGCGGGAGCGCTGCTCCCGGCAGTGCGGGCGGGTCCCAGCGCCGTGCCCGCAGCCGGCCGCGCTCCCACCCGCTCCGCCGTACCGCCCGCGGCTGCTTCGGCTGCGGGAGGGAGGGGGGAAGGCGGCAGGGGAGGGCGAAGAGGAGAGAAAAGGGAAAACAACAACAACAACAAAAAAATAAAACCTTAAGAAAAAAAAGAAAAAAAGAAAAGAAAAGCAAGAATTGGAGAAACTGAGCCCCCACCGCCGCCTGGAAGCGGAGTAAAAAGGCTCCAATAAATCCCGGGTTGAAAAGAAGGGAAAAGTCACCTCCCCGAGGAAATCAGAAGCAGATTTCGAGCCATTTAATCACATGCAGGGAGGTGTGTGCGTGTGCGCCGCCCGCCGCCGCTGCCAGCCCTGCCTCCGCCCTCCGCCCCGCCGGCAGCCCAGCGGGCAGGGCCGGGCCGGGCGGGGAGCCCTCCCCGCGGGGGTCCCGGTGGCCGCCCCACCGCCGGGCAGCCCTCCCCGCCGGGCTCCGCCGCGGGGGTCCCAGTGGCCGCGGTCCCACCTGCCGCCCGGGCGGCCCCGCCGCACCCCGGGAGTTCGCCGAGCCCGCCGCGGGTCCATCCCTGCGGTGTCCGGGGGGCTGCGGGGCGTAGCCCACCGCGCCGAGGGCTCAGCGGTGCCGCAGGGGAGGCAGCCGGTTATCCTCCCTTGGTTTCCCAAAGCAAATGAGGGATTTACCAGGCGGGAGCAGCTCCTCTTATGGAGGAGGCTGGAGTCTCCAATCCATCCCGTAGTGCGGGGGCTTTTCACGCGCTGCTGCACCAGGGCCACCCTTGGTCTCTGATTTTCGGGCGGGGGGGGGGGAGAAAGGGGGCACTTCCGTGCCCAGCACAGCTGCCTCCGGGCTGCCCCAGGGGGGCTGCCCCGCCATCCCCAGGCCACCTGTGAGTGGGGCAAGAAAAAGGTGAAACTAATTTAATCAGTTTGTGTGAGGCGGTGGAGGAGAGCAGAAAACCCGGACCTGGATCCCCTCCTTCACTGGGGTCGTGTTCACAGCCCTGCAGCCCCCACATCGACCTGGGAACATCCTATTGTAGATGCTGTGGCAGTGGATGTGAGGACTGAGGACAAAACTGGCAGTGGGGAGAAGGGCAAGGTGCCAGCACTGTGTTCACCCGTTACGTTCAAAGCCCCCACCCACCATCACCCTGCTCCCGGAGGACCCCCGTTACCCACATCCTGTTGCTCCGGGGCAGCAGGTTGCAGGAGCAGCTCTCCCAGCCGGCTGGCAGATGCTCGCTGAAGGCACAGACCCCAGCTGGCCGCGAGCCCCAGGGGAAATGCTGTTTGCTGCTCTCTGCCTTGTTGCACAAAACACATCTCCCCCCTTCTTCAGCAGCAGGGACACAGATAAACAAGGGCAAAGCCACCAGGTGACAGAACAGAGGAGGCCCGGGCTGTGAGCAGGGGAACCTCAAGGCTCTCCAAGTCCAATGCTACAGGTGTCTTGTAGCCCCCCGTCTCTCTCGGGGACACTTGTGCATTTGGAGAGTCAGATGGCCAGGCCAGAGCCACAACAGCAGCGCACGTGCAAATCCCAGAGGAGAAGCAAGTGCAGGGCCAATGTTTGCTTTGTGTGGGATCAGATCAGACCATGGGGCAGAGAGAGGCCTGTGGTTGTCAGAACAGTGTGGGATGTAGTGTATGGGAGTGGGGGCAGGCTGGGGTGACCAAGGCAAAAGGGCAAAATGGGGTATGGCTCAAAGATCCTGAGGTGACACAAAGCAGGAATTGTCCAAGGGATGGACCTGAAGGCATTTTCCTCAACAGAAGGCATGAGGACAACCATGAATATGAGCTGTGATACTGAACCAGTCTGGCCGGGCCACTCCAGGGTAGTGCTGAGCTGGGAGGCTGAGTCACCACAACCTCAGTGCTGCTGTTTTCACACCCATTGGACACCCTACTCCCCCATCCTGGGACCCAAACATGATGCTAGAGGTGCTGGTCACCATATGGAGAAGTCCTAGGACTGCTGTCCACAGGTCTCATGGCACTGAAAGCCCAGCTGAGATGGGCACAAGCTGTTTCCTGAATCCTCATTTCCACTCTTCCCTCTTTGCAAGATGAAGAGCCTGAGAGAAAGATGTGGATCTGGGTTTGGCAAACAGGGGGATGCCGTGGACATCAGCAGGGATGGAACACTCGCTGAGGTAGGAATCGGACTGCGAGACCCTGCTGGTGTCCCTCAGCATGCCAACATCCCCATGAATAGGGCATCCAGTGCTCACTGCCTTCCTGGGCAGGGAGAAGAAGAGGGCAAACCCATTGTGTGGTTTGTCTCCCTGGTGTCTGCAGGAAGCTCTGCCCCTTACAAGCTGCTATTCTGCATCCATTGCCTCATGAAGGCACAGTGTCCGGTGCCAGCCAGGCCTCTCAGTTAATGAAGGATTGCTGAAAGGACACAGACATCCACAAGCTGTTGGAGCAAAAGCACCGGCACCAAGTCAGCTGGGGCAGACACAGAGCACAGAATGGGTTAAAAGGACCTTTAAAGATCATCCACTCCAACTGCACAGCAGGGATATCTTTCATTAAACCAGATTGCTCAGGCCCCCATTCAACCTGGCCTTGAACACTCCCAGGGATGGGGCAGCCACAGCTTCTCTGGGCAACCTGTGCCAGGGCCTGACCACCCTCACAGCCAACAATCCCTTCCCAATATCCCATCTCACCCTGCCCTCTGTCAGTAGGAAGCCATTGGCCCTTGTCCTGTCCCTCCAGGCCCTTGTCCAAAGTCCCTCTCCAGCTCTCTTGGAGCCCCTTTAGGCACTGGAAGGGCCTCTAAGATCTCCCTGGAGCCATCTCTCCCCCAGGCTGACCCCCCTCCCAGCCCCGCAGACATCAGTACCCCGCCCTCCCAACCCCCCTAAGCAATTGCAGCCAGCCCAGCCCTGCAGAGACTCCCTTGGTCATTGCTTTCTACCCACAGAGTGGCTCAGACCCCGCACCTGAGCCCCCTGAGCCCAAGACCCCACCTGACCCCTCCTGATTCCCCCAAGCCGTCCCGGATCCCCAGCTCCCCTGGACCCACCTGAGCCCCCAAGCTTCCCTGGCTCCCCCTGATTCCCCCAAGCCCCCCCAAGGGACTCCTGGATCCCCAGGCTCCCCAAGCCCCCTGAGTCCCCCAAACCCTCCTGGCTCCCTCGGCTTCCCAAGTCCCCCAAACCCCCCGAGCTTCCCACCTTCCCTGACTCCCTCAGACCCCTGAGCCTCCCAAGTCCCCTCAGCTTCTCCAGGAACTCCCGGACCCCCGAGATCCCCTGGCTCCCCAAGCGCCCCGAGTGTCCCCAGCTCCTTCCAGGACCCTCCATTCTCCCATATCCCCCGGCTCCCCCG